TGTGATATTCTAGAACATTTTCTCCTTTAGGTTTACTGATTATTAATCTAGGTTGAACAACTGGACGTCTTGGACTGGAGAAATCATCACTGAAAATACAGATAAAAAATTTAAAAAGGGACTGCATTAATAAATATTATCTATCTAACTATCATCATTTTGTTGTATAAGTTTCTATTGTAGTCTATGAACCTAGGCTGTGATTGTATTAATAACTATAATATAAGCATAATTATATGTTGTTGTATAGGTTGCTATGGTATAACTCTAGATTGTATTAGATTAACCTAGGCTGTGATTAATTAACTATTAATAACTATAATATAATATGTTGTTGTATAAGTTGCTATGGTATAACTCTAGATTGTATTAGATTGACCTAGACTGTGATTGTATTAATAACTATAATATGTTGTTGTATAAATTGCTATGGTATAACTCTAGATTGTATTAGATTGACCTAGGCTGTGATTGTATTAATAACTATAATATAATATAATTATATGTTGTTGTATAAGTTGCTATGGTATAACTCTAGATTGTATTAGATTAACCTAGGCTGTGATTGTATTAATAACTATAATATAATATAATATGTTGTTGTATAGGTTGCTATGGTATAACTCTAGATTGTATTAGATTAACCTAGGCTGTGATTAATTAACTATTAATAACTATAATATAATATGTTGTTGTATAGGTTGCTATGGTATAACTCTAGATTGTATTAGATTAACCTAGGCTGTGATTGTATTAATAACTATAATATAATATAATTATATGTTGTTGTATAGGTTGCTATGGTATAACTCTAGATTGTATTAGATTAACCTAGGCTGTGATTAATTAACTATTAATAACTATAATATAATATGTTGTTGTATAGGTTGCTATGGTATAACTCTAGATTGTATTAGATTAACCTAGGCTGTGATTGTATTAATAACTATAATATAAGCATTATCATATGTTGTTGTATAGGTTGCTATGGTATAACTCTAGATTGTATTAGATTGACCTAGGTTGTGATTGTATTAATAACTTATAATATAATATGTTGTTGTATACGTTGCTTTGGTATAACCCTTCGAGGAGGCTTGTTCAATTGTTTTCCAAAAATTGCGCGAACGTGGATATTCTAGAAGGTTCTTGAGAGGTATTAAAAGCTCAACAGTTGCTGAAATCTCTGCTAAAAATAATTCTTTTGCCAATACCAAATTCTTCAGTTTATCCTTGTAACAACCCTCGCTGTCAAACCTGTCCCTTCATTTTACGAACAAATTCTTTCCGAAATAGACGCACAGAATCCATATTTCAAGTAAATGAAAAGCTCAACTGCAACAGCAAAAATATTATTTATCTCATTTCTTGCACAAAATGTGACAAACAATACTTTGGGGAGACAAAAAATTTGTCTGACATCAACTTAAAAAAAATTAATAAAACCGTTCCAAAACACTTCAATCAACCCGATCACCAATTAACAGACCTGAAAATTATTCCCATTGAACAGATATACGAACAACCCGGCATTGATACAAAGAAAATTCGACTCATTCGCGAAAATTATTGGATAAACAAATTACAAATTTCCAAATTATACCTTTTGTTATTCAATACAACAACACAGCTGGTCAAGTTCCCCGAATAATTATCCGTCTTTACAAAGAATTGCAGGAAAAATTTCGAACAGTCTTTACAAATGATTTAGTTATCGCCTATACCCGTAATAAAAATCTAAATAATATCTTAGTCCATGGTAGATTACCCCCATCCTCCTTCCATAGGTTTAGTACATTTCCTTTAATTAATATTTCTTATTTATGATAACTTACAATTGAAGTGTTTCCTCGCAAAAATATCATACATGTATACTATTTTCACTTAATAAATTATATATATTTTTTATATGAAATACACATTTTCCTTTTCATTTAATATAGGACAATCCTCAGTTTCACCAGTGAAAATGTTTATTATGATTTCCATGGTTATTAATGTTCCTGTTGGAACCAGTATTCTTCTTATATATTTCAGATTCAGAAGATAATGGATTTGCATTTCAAATATTTTATATCATTCTTTTAAACTAACTTCACAAACATTGCTCTATCACTAGAGGTTACACCTACATGCCTGTGCCTTCGTAACATTGCTTAACCGTAATGTTACAACCTAAAATTCCTAGGATGTATTAGATTAACCTAGGCTGTGATTAATTAACTATTAATAACTATAATATAATATGTTGTTGTATAGGTTGCTATGGTATAACTCTAGATTGTATTAGATTGACCTAGACTGTGATTGTATTAATAACTATAATATGTTGTTGTATAAGTTGCTATGGTATAACTCTAGATTGTATTAGATTGACCTAGGCTGTGATTGTATTAATAACTATAATATGTTGTTGTATAAGTTGCTATGGTATAACTCTAGATTGTATTAGATCAACCTAGACTGTGATTGTATTAATAACTATAATATAATATAATATGTTGTTGTATAAGTTGCTATGGTATAACTCTAGATTGTATTAGATTGACCTAGGCTGTGATTGTATTAATAACTATAATATAATATAATATGTTGTTGTATAAGTTGCTATGGTATAACTCTAGATTATATTAGATCAACCTAGACTGTGATTGTATTAATAACTATAATATGTTGTTGTATAAGTTGCTATGGTATAACTCTAGATTGTATTAGATTGACCTAGGCTGTGATTGTATTAATAACTATAATATAATATAATTATATGTTGTTGTATAGGTTGCTATGGTATAACTCTAGATTGTATTAGATCAACCTAGACTGTGATTGTATTAATAACTATAATATAATATGTTGTTGTATATGTTGCTATGGTATAACTCTAGATTGTATTAGATTAACCTAGGCTGTGATTAATTAACTATTAATAACTATAATATAATATGTTGTTGTATAGGTTGCTATGGTATAACTCTAGATTGTATTAGATTGACCTAGACTGTGATTGTATTAATAACTATAATATGTTGTTGTATAAGTTGCTATGGTATAACTCTAGATTGTATTAGATTGACCTAGGCTGTGATTGTATTAATAACTATAATATAATATAATTATATGTTGTTGTATAGGTTGCTATGGTATAACTCTAGATTGTATTAGATTAACCTAGGCTGTGATTAATTAACTATTAATAACTATAATATAATATGTTGTTGTATAGGTTGCTATGGTATAACTCTAGATTGTATTAGATTGACCTAGACTGTGATTGTATTAATAACTATAATATGTTGTTGTATAAGTTGCTATGGTATAACTCTAGATTGTATTAGATCAACCTAGACTGTGATTGTATTAATAACTATAATATAACATAATTATATGTTGTTGTATAGGTTGCTATGGTATAACTCTAGATTGTATTAGATTAACCTAGGCTGTGATTAATTAACTATTAATAACTATAATATAATATGTTGTTGTATAGGTTGCTATGGTATAACTCTAGATTGTATTAGATTGACCTAGACTGTGATTGTATTAATAACTATAATATGTTGTTGCATAGGTTGCTATGGTATAACTCTAGATTGTATTAGATTGACCTAGGCTGTGATTGTATTAATAATTTAATATCATCCAAAGGGATTGTATTATGATTGTATTTTCTTGTTGCATAGGTTGCTATTGTACTAATCAATGTTGTATTAGATTAACCTAAGCTGTGACTGTATACATAAAAACTATTTACCTATCAGAATCCCATTCATCATCATCATTGTGTTGTTGTATAGGTTGTGATTGTATTAATCTAGTTTGTGCTCTAGGTGGTGAACGAACAGGACTGGTAGATAATGGTTTGATATCTCGAGCTAGACTGTCTTCACCTTCAGATTCATCAGAATCCCAATTTGTACTAGTCCACTCTGTTGTTGATCTATTAATATAAATATTCACGCATTTTATTGATGACAAAATGGACATACACTTCTAAAAAAGGAAGAGGATTTCTCAATTTTTTATGTGTATCAGGGACACTGATAGCATCAACTTGCGTCATTCCAATTTTCGAATCAGACGTCTGTGGTTCCTGCAATTCCACTAAACGTAAGTGTTTGATGACGTCATTAATTGTGACGTATCTTTTGTGATAAAGCATATTTTGCAATTAACAAAACCGTTATAATTGGATTCACTAAAAGCTTTAAAACCTACCCTGTAGATTGAAGGTTTTTATTAGGTGATGTTGAACGAGGAGTAGGTTTAGGTGTATTTCCAGTACCACGCGGTCTAGGACTAGGACCACCAGATGATGTAGATGGTTGTGGGAAAGTTCTTCTATTACCAGTTTGTGCTGGAGATGGATTTCTTGATCCTTGAAATGTTCTAGCTGTAAAACAAATCAAACGAATATCATTAAATCTAAATACTTGAAGACACAACAGTTGTCATTAGGACCTGATGATCTAATGTGTCATAGAGTTCCTCTTGTTTTCCTACATATTGCCATTTTGACAAAATTTCCCTCATTACTCACTGCATGGTTCATTTTCATTCGAATATTCAGGTGCAGAACAATAGGACATAAAATTTCATATAATTTATTTCTAAATGAAAGTTGCTAGGATTCAATAGAGATTGCTTTCATTGTAAATAATAAATTTTCAGCTATTTAGTATCTCAATCAAGACAATAAGACCATTACAGGAGAAATTGAACTTACATCCTGTTGCAGGAGAACGTTGCATTTCTCTCATCTTCTCTTTAGCTTTACTAGTAGCTTCCATATCTAGACGTTGTCTCAGACGGGCAAAATCTACATATTTCTGTAAAATATAAGTTAAAATAATTGTATATAGTAAAACAAGATCACAGCACAGACAAGTTAATGTATTCATTATATCAGACTACTGTAAATCATAGATTAGAGCTAGATTCATTGATTTCAATGTTCACTGAGGTTTTTAAATTTTTATAGGGGACACTGATAGAATCTAATTGCACTATTTCAATTTCAGTTAGACTTCTGTGGGTCTTCAATTTCACTTTATTTTATGACTAGTGATCACAAAAGCAATTAGGTATTATTACTGTAAGCTATTGTGTAGAGCATTTGTGTAAATACAGGAAGAACAGACAAATAACAGATAATTTGAAAGATGCAAATACAATCCATAAATGACCTAGATACAAAAAATGAATCATTCTCACATCCTTAAAATAAACTCAAGGCAGATGGCACAAAATTCTCTTGGTACAAAGTTTGTTACCTTAAGTGAGGTTTTGAACTTTTGCCTTTTAAGTTCATTTCTTTCCAAGTACTTTAAGCATACTGAATGTGATCTTACCCTCTCTAGTGACTGTCTCTGTGTTTTTAACATGGCTAATTTATTATCTCTCACTCTGTCACTTATATAAGGATGTTTCTATAAATAAAATCATAAAGAACTCAATTGTCTCTATGTCTTGACTAATTGTACGATCAGAATTCTCCCAGACACATTCTTAGTTTTCATACTGGCTTTTACTTTAACTGAGAACCTGTTTGGGCTAATGAGGATCATCAAAGCTATGCAAGCTTTTAAAATTTCCAAGAGTGGAGGGATCATTTAATGTGCACAACCTCTAGCACACTGGACCTATGTTTATTGTCCCATCCCTACTACCTACATCACTGACAGGGGGAAATCCAATTAAAAACTCTAAAATCATCTTGACCCTCACAGAGATTAAACCCTTGAGTAGATTTTTGAAGTATATTTGAAATATACCTGGAGTATTTCATTTGGCAAAGCCATGAAATGATACAAAACAAAGTAATAATAATCACTTACAGGATCTACACCAATCTTTCCTAGTTTCTCATTCAAAAATGCATCAAATTCCTTCCCCATCATATCTATTGTAATATTTTGACGTATCTTATCAACAAATTCTCTTGTACCTAAAGCTGACCTGTAAAAACATCACAATAGCTTTTAAAGTCAAGGAAGACAGGACAATCAATCAATACTGAAGAATCACAATATCAAATTTTTTGGGGCCCCCAAATTTGAAATATCAGGCACTATTTCTAGAATTATTTTGCCTGGGTAGTCCTTTCCCTAATTATAGATTTGTTAATTTTAACTCTATCATGTAGGACTATGATCAATTTAATTGATTTACAAGGCTTAAGGCTTATTTAAAAAAAAAGAGAAATGAGCTCAGCAAAGTAACTCACTAACCAACTAGAATGTAAGAACGAAACATATCAAAGCTTACCCAAGAGAAGAACCTAGAGTTCCAGTACCTTTAAAACTACCAGTACCAGTTAATAAACCTTCAAAATATAAGTTATAAATACAACATTCATCAGTGGGCTATTATAATCAAACTATCAAACATAGTTTTAACTGAGCTTACTCAATCCAACTTTTATTATTATGGATCAATGTTATTTCAAAAACATTTCTCAATATATGTCAAAGGAGCTAAAAAAAAAAAAATAGTCAATTGATCCTAAGCAAATTTTCTCCAAATTGAGTTTATCAAACACCACTTTGTCTTAAAGGTGCAACCAGGGAAACAACTAGCTCCCAATTTCACTTTTCAAAAGCTTTATTTTTCCTTGATATCCCTGATCAGACACAATGAAAAATAGTGATGATATTGGTCAAAATTTGACAGAACACAATCTAAGGAGCAATTTCATCAGATCATAGATGGCCAAAATACATTGAAATAAAACATCTATCACTAGTTTAATCAGAATACAATCAATTTCCAATGAAATTAAACCATTACCTGTTGCAGTGCTCTCTTCATCCTCATCATCACTAGGATACATACTAACTCTAGCCTTTCTAGTCTCAGCTGGTGATTTTCTACCTGGTGACCTCCTTGATGGTGATGTTCTAGTGTTGACAGGTGAATGATGTTGTGGTGATGTAGATTGTTTACTTGTAAATGTTTCTACCACTGTCTCATTCTATAAAAGATAAAATATAATAAAGTTGACACCAAACCAATTCTGTATCCTTCAACATTGACCTTGTTAAGAGATAATAATGGGTCTTGAGTAACAATGGTTTTCCACATTCGCCCCCAAAATATTCGCCACCTTCCTATTTCACAACTTATTCCCAGTTAGTTTCTTCCCAATTCACCACTATTTCACACCTTCCTGGATTTTTTATATGGTTTATAGTGGGAAATATTGCCTTTAGCATTCCAATGCTAATAATACTGCAACAGTAAGATGCCAAAAGGATTTCAGTGGTGGTTAGTGTTGAAACGGTTAATCAGTTAACCGATTTCGGGTAGTAATTCATGGGTAACCGGGTCTGATTTGAGATAATTGGTTAATCTTATAAGAAGTAAAAAGAGAGCAATTTTGACAGAAAAATTCGTCACTGTATGAGTCTTAGAGCTGTTTTCTTTAGTAAATAAACATCTTTATTGATTGAATAATTGAGATTAATAAATCAAGATAGGGTATCAATTACCAAAATTCTAACGAGTTGCAAGAATTGTGGTCAAGATTATATAAGTTACACTAATTACTGTTCTTGATAATCGAGTCACGATATCGGGGTTGACAGTCGCCGTGTGCACAGTTATGTTAATTAGGTTAAACAAATAAGCACTGCAATCATTTTCAGCCGTTAGGCATGTGTCACGGTTCGTTGAATCTTGTTATTATTTTTATTGTATTGCATTACATTGACGGTATAAAAACCTTTGATCTGTTAGAGACTGTAACAATGAGTGACAATGGCACCAGTCCGTCTGAACTATGTCAGGCCCGCTCGTAATCTTACATTAAAGCAGACGCTTCAATGGGTTGTTAGGTATCTGTCGATTTGTACCAACAATTCACGGTGAACTAGCCAAAATCTTCCTGGGTACTCATATACACTTACTTTAGTTTAGTTAAAGGTGAGTTACCGCTGCAAATGCGGTTTTTGACTCCTTTTATAATCTTTAGTAATTAACCAGGATTAACAGGGTAACAAACGGTTATTGTCGACGATTACCCGGTTCATAAAATTCACTAACAGTTTCAACACTATTGGTGGTGGAGTGACTTCATTTAAACACTACAAATAATCAAACTCACTAACCCTGATTCTTCTCTCTCTTTCTACTTGTTTTCTTTTAAATTCTGCCGATTTTCTTAATTCTTCAGTTCTTATCATTTCTTCTTCAAGAGAATTCAACATTTTCTCTTGTTCTCTTGATTTCTACAATTTATATGTTCACTATATCAATCAATTCATAGATAATCAGTAATAAAACTAATGAACGAAACTTGACTACATCCTCAAAATCCACACATTGGCAGGCTTTGGTAAAACAATAAATTTTCATTTAACATTTTCTTTTGTATTGATGAAATATGACATTCAGTATCAAATAGCAAAACGCAATGTTTTCTAAAATGTTTTGCTTACCGAACAGGATCATAACTAGCTAAAATAACACGTTCACAATACTGAACAATGGTGATCTTAATACCATGCAAACTTTCAGTTAAGTTAAAACAAAAACATCATGCACTTGAATTCAGTAAACACGCGAAGTAATTCAATGTTTCAACTATCATTTCCTTAATTAATGAGAACCTTTTACTAGACTAAACACAACTAACCAATAAATATCAAGTCAGTCTATTATCTCTGTAAATCATTCAATAACAAAACAGTTTTCAATAATAACATAACATTAGTGACTATCTGACAAACTGTAAATTTTGTTTTGAATTGCATGAAGCCCATGTTCACAAGAGTCAAACACTTAACTACAATACGATGACTGTGCCAAAATAGTACCAGAATACCATTTGATATTCAAAGGTCCCAAAAAGAAAAAGGTTGCCAAAGATCATGCTATAAGCAAATTACTTTAAAGTTTCATGATTTTTACAATTGACCTAAGGGAAAATAATGGTTAAAATGGTGATAGCTATGTTAGACCAATAAACAACAAATCATACACTTTGATTTGAAGAATGAAAGAGGCTGTATGGGGTGTTCAAACCAGGCAAAATTATTGATCAAATCCAAACAAATTATCATGGATAATTTTCATTAGTCATGCAGGAAAATGGAATTGAAACAGAATAAGTGGAATGGAAACTGAACTCAGAACTCTTTATCTTACCTTTACAGGAGGTTTTTGCTAAGAAAAAGTATTCAAAATAAAAATATTTCACAGAGGTAAAATTTAAAGTAAAGTATTTCTTTAAAGATATGTTCCCATTTTCTCAGACACCTTTTTTGCGTTATAATTAACTACTTTAAGTCATTTAAATATTTGTTTCACAAATCAGCTCAGTTTCAAATAACTGTATTTTATCACTTTAAGAATTCAAATCCAAAGTCTGCTTCTACTGCATTTCAAGAAAAATGTAATATTGGAGTCCATATTGTCATTTCAAGGTCATCTTTAAATATCTCGCCTGCAGTCATAACATAATAGCTAATATTCTAGGACAACAATTTAACAAGCCAGCCACGGTATTGCCAAATTACAGTAGAACCAGACTTTAAAATTGAATTTTGCCAAGTATCTTAATTGAGATGAAGCCCTATCAAAAGCCTAAACAAATATTCAAATATCATGGTTATATAACCTGCCCTGCAAATTAACAGTTTGTGTTTATCAAAGCCATTATATTAAAAATGATATTTCTGATAATCAATTGGTCTAGAAAATAAGAGAACTCATCTTTAAAAAGAGAAGGAGACAATAAGATTATAGATTAATTAAGATAAAAGAAATAAGTTATAAATTTTAACAGTACTTACTCTAACTAGATCTTCATTTTCTCTCAGTTGTTTTTCTACATGAGGCTCACTATGAGCTTTACTTTCTATTAAAGCCATGTTTGTATCCTCTAATGCATTGTTTAACTACAAACAAATATTTTGAATAAAAAAAAGAGATTGTGGGTACACTTTATGTGTCTTTTTTATCTGGTATTTTTTTCTCCTTTCTATTTTTATTTTTGACCTTTAAAGGTTTATAACACAACTTCAATAGGATAGAAGTGAAGTGCCTTGCATCATTCAATTCCAGTCATACATCTGTAGTTTTTGCAATTTCCCTTCAACTCAGAATTTTATTATGTCACTAACGCAACAGCCAAATATATTAATAGCCACTTTTACAATAGTGACGTCAATATACAATTTGGCATTCCTATAACACAGGAACCAAATACCTCCTACACGTAAAATATTACAACCCTTTTTTGACTTAGTATGACAAAAGAATAACTATTTCAGAAAATGATCTTATTTCAATCTAATTCAAGTGAACTTACTTTATGAAGTTCATCTGCATGCTGTTTAGACATATTCTGTACTTTCTTTGACCATTTTCTTTCTTGTTTTTCTAATTTGATGGACATTTGTTTTTCTACATTATTTAACTGTGAAAGCAAACATGGCAAAGTATTATACATTCTATATAAGTATAGGAATCCAGAGTTATAAAGTTATAGTTTGAACAGAAAATTTCTGCCTTAAGCACTCCTTCCTCTCAAGTAATGGAACCCAAAAATCCTGTGATTGGCCCGAAATTGATATGACCACTGCCAAAAAAACACTATTTGGGGAGGCTAGAGAATATCTCCTACAGCTTTAAAAAAAAAACCCTATGATCAGACCTGCTCTTGTAGCTGTTCCTTCAAAATGGCTGCGTCTTCTCTCTGTCTTTTAATAGCTCTTCTATCATCATCATCATCTTGCATATCTCCTAGATTAGATCTATGACCTACAAATTACAATCCAGATTAATGTTAACAATATCTTGGGTTTTGCCAATCTGTTGAATCTAATAATTTGAGATCATGCCCGGTGATCCTTAACCAAACCTCACAAGCTTGTATTATAGCTAGGTAGAATGATGAAGAAAGATGATTTGTTGAAGGACATCTTATGTGCATCCCAGGCATATTTTTCTTACTCAACATTAACTGAATTTCCACACCTTCCAGCATATACTTATGGTAGGCAGTTCAAAATACTGAAAGCAATTTAGTTCTTGAAAATGACCATATACAGACCATCTATTAAAGCTCTTTCTGATGCCTGTAATTTCATATTAACTTCTCTTATTTCTCTTTCATACATTTTTCTCATTTCATCTATTTCATGTTGCTATAAAACATAAAGAGTTTTACCTTGAAATTCTTATATCTTTTTTTTTTCTGAAAAACTGATTGCCTTATAAAAATTATTAAGATTTCATAGTGTTATTTATAATTATTGAGAAATTACAGTAGCAATAGCCCAAAGTTAAATAATAACCAAATGTCAATGATACTGTTAGGAATTATGTGCCATTCCCTTTTTGGCCCCTAACTTATATGACAAAAGCCTGTAGTAGGTTTCTTTTAATCAATGAAAAAAATATATATTACCTGTACATCATTATAAACATCACTAGATATATTAACTATAGATCTATCACCATCCTACAAATTAAATACATTATCATAATATATGATCATTAACTATATAAATTATATCTTAATAAATATTCTAGGTGAATAACAACATCAGTTTGATACATTAATACATTATAACTCAACCAACCTTTAAACTACTCTTTAAAGATCTGTTAACTTTCTTTTCTTCTTTTAAAGCTGCTTCAGTCCTATGTAATCTGTCTTTAATATTATTTAATTCAGCTTCTAGAGTTTTATTCATACTACCCCCAGATAACTGATGGGGTTCAGAACTCGAAGCTTTAGAAGAGAATTCGTGATGGCGGCGAAATATGTGAGATTGAAGAAAAGAAGCATTCAAAAAGGCTTTGGAACAGAAAGGACACTGCAAAGATATGAAAGAAAAATTTGACATTTGACAAAATTTTCATTTTCATTTTTTTTCTTCATTTAACCATTATCTACTCAAAGGATCTATCCCCCAAATACTATACACTTCTTTTTTTAAGAAAACTTAATTTAATGCTTTCAAACAAATCTTGAAATCTGAGTTACATGACAAAGCGTAAATGGAGTGCAATTCCATACAAATACCAACAAATTATATTTACCTTATTATAACTATCAGAACCAGAATGTATCATTTGTTGTTGTGCTATTAATAATTTCTTTCTTTTATGAGATTCTTTCTTACTTTCTGTTAATTCTTCTTTTAATTTCTCAAGTTCTTCTTTTAATTTTATCATTTCCTGTTAAAAAAAAATTTTATGATAAACAAGTATGGAGGGACATTTTGCACAATGGGTTTACAGCCCATTCAAAAACAAGACTATTGTCTATTTGGGCCTACAAGTTTCTGAAATGAAGTAAAACTGTTCAATATATATCTTAAAAGTCACTTTGTCCATGATTAAATTAAAACAGTTGGTAAGAAAATACTGTATGCTGTCAAAATGTATTAACTACAATGAAATCGACAGCTTGTAAAGTCAAAAAGACAAAATAATCTAGTCTACAAACCTGTTCTGTTAGTTTGACTTTCTCTTCTGAAGCTGCTACTATACCAGCCAAATAATCTTGAGAGTGCTGAAATAAATTCAACAAAGCATCAGTAAATATATCAATATTCATCCACAGGTGATAAGCCAGTATCACAATAGATATTATTCTTTCTTCAAATAGTATGCAAGTGAACAGATTTGCAAGGTGTTTGAGACAAGAAGAATGCATCTTACATATTACTTTATACCAAACCTTTCAATTATTGTCATTTTAAGTTGTTTACAGGACAGTCAAAGATTTCAGTTGTTTCTAAAAAATCTTTCCTCCCATATCATTAGTCATCGAACAGTTCAGCTAATATAATTACATACAAGAACTAATTACCCTTTTCTTCAATGTAACTTACCAATAAATATTCAATAGTAAACTGGGCTAATTTAAAAAGTTTGACAAAATTTGGATCCACCATTCTCATATCCTGAAAGACAAGAAATAAACTTAAGTTTGTTTAAGAATAAAGCCAATTAGAAGTAAGCTTATTCAAGGTACCGGTGCTAATTTTGTATATATAATGTACAGTATATTTCTAAATGCATTTTCTCCTCAGGCTAAACAAAAGGTTATTTTCCACTTTTTTTCTATTTTTCCAGTTGGCATCATGCATGGCTTAATATAACGAATTTAACTTACCAATTCACTTTCAATATTACAGAAAGTTAAATTCATGATGTTTTCTTGTAATGCATTAAAATCTAATGTTCTTGAAATTTGATCTACATCTATTGAAGCTATTTTTCTCCAATCAATATGTTCAAATCTCTTCTTGAATGCAAAGTTGCCATTTTTACCATTTGCACCTGGTGCAGTCTGGTGAGGATTGAAACCACCAACACCACCAAAACTAGTGGACGGGGCATTCATGTAGACTGTTGCCATTTTAAATTTTGTTGCAGTTTTCAACTTCTATTGCTCTATACTCATCTGAAAAGAATAAAATATGATTTCATGGAGTCTATGTAAGCTTAAACTTAATGATGAATTGTAAAATTAAGTCAAATTAATATCAGTAACATATTGAGTCTTAAATTGTCTTCTGCTTGGTGAAAATTCCAACAATTAAGAAAAAAAATGGAAATAAGAAATTAGAGAAAAAAGAATTTTCAGGATAGAAGAAGAACTAGAAGACATATATGAGCATCACATTTTGCCAACCTTTTCTGTTAATTAAATTAACTTATCATTATTAAAAATATGATAAGCTCAATTTTTGGCCTCAAATTTCATCTATATCCTACGTTAAGATTTCAAGACAAATGGCATGTTAAATATTAATTAAAATATTGTAAAATGACACAAGAATTCAATAACTACTAGTAATAAGTTAACATTAATGGTTTGAATGAAGTAAATCAATGGCATTTAGCAATCAATTGCCATAAACAAGTGTAGTCGGTACTTAAAAGACACAGAAAGATTTGTTTTGACATGCTTTTAATTCATAAACGTCAAAAATGTGAAACTAATCTAAACATAGCCAACATCATTGAATGAAAAGTTTCGCAATTCCATTACTTACATTTCAGGGTGCGATACTCAAAAATTTGATTCTTAAATGTCACTTATAAACACATTGTTGCAAAAACAAATTTTAAATTTTCGTTGCCATCTCAAAACAACGCCATTTTGGAATGCTGACAACTGGTGGATCATGGGAGAAGAATTTGTTTGAAATTAAAACCCCTTAAAGCAAGATGGATCTTAAAATTTTAATAAGTATTTAATGGAATTTCAATAGAGGAAAAAACACAGCAATTATCGAATAAAGGAATTTTAGACCAAGGCAGAAGGGTGAAATTTTGACCCAAACTTTGACCTTTGACACCGGATGTTAGGATTCTAACCAATAGAAATTTCACACGAGTAAGTCCATGTGTAAATTTCTGACGAAAGTAATAACATTTTGGAAAGAAATGTATCGAAACAAGTGAAAAATAAGATGTTAGCAAACGTAATGGACTTTGCACGACTTTTTCAGTCGCTATGCATATGCTTATTAACCTTAGATATCCAGTTATTTGGTAAGTAAAGAGTCAAAATGACGATATATGAATGTCAACATCTAAACTTTTTTCTAAAAACAAATCGAAAGTTGTGATAGTCTATTTAGTCTTTTGACACTTGGGTTCTTTTATAGTTCATTGTCTGTATTTCATTTCAAATCAAACAGACTCTGCACACAGGTTAAGGTATAGTCTGCTAAATAGTCATCTTTCATTTTGAGACAACAATTTGCATCAACGTACATTTTATCTTTTCTACACTCCATTTTTCTTGTTTGACGACTTAATGACTTGTCACTATAATTAATGCCTGAGGCCAGTCTAATTGACTTATTTATGTTAGAACAAGACTCTGATTAATAATTTTTATGATGTCGAGTCAGAAAGCATAATTGGTTTATAATTGAAAATTAAAAAGTTAACATGGGTTTAAATCATGCTACGTACAATATCCATTATAAAAGATGAAAAGCCTAGATTGGATTTCTTCATTCAATTAATGAACCCTGTTGGCTTCACCCTGAACGTGGTGATGTTGAGAATGATTCTGGACACATGGATTTGAAGGCTTAAATTTCAAGGGCCAGCTGTGAACACCATTACTAAGTAGCTTAGCTAAAAAATTCCTGATTATTGTAGACTTAGGTACAATTGGCGATGGCGAACTTGTCCCTTTAACCATTGTATCGTCATTATATAAAGTTATATAAGTCTTCCATACAGTTATTAAAAACCATACATAACTATGCTAGATATACACCAGTAGTTGATGTGGATGGTTGGGTTTCATGATTCCTGGTATATGATTATAATACCTCTCTTTTTACAGGGTTAACATCTGGCGCCAACCCTGAAGTAGAACAACATTTAGAGATGGGTAAAAAATTATTGGCAGCAGGACAGTTAGCAGATGCCTTGTCACATTACCATGCTGCTGTTGGTAAGTGACTTGACATATTCTAATTAGATTCAGCAGCTCAGATAAATATTATAAGTCAGCATAAATTACCTGTATACATTATTCACCATCTGTCTATTGATTGTATAAACATCTGATAAAACTAAACAGGTCTTTTTATGTTTTGTCCATTCAGTCAATTATATTTTTGTGTTTTATCAATTTGGTCTAATTTTAATTAGATATTCAGTGCCCTATCATTAACTTGTATTTTCATTCTGCTTCTATCCGTATTTTCATTGGATTGAGAAATTATGACAGATTTGCATTTTAATCGAACAGAAACCAAAAACTAAAATCTTTCTATCTTCACCTCTGTCTTTATTCTAATTTTTCAGAGGGAGATCCAGATAATTATATGACTTACTTTAAAAGAGCTACAGTATTTTTAGCTCTTGGTAAATCTAGATCTGCTTTACCAGATTTAGCAAAAGTTGTTGAATTACGTCCAGATTTCACTGCAGTAAGTTGTGTTTATGTCCTTACTCTGAACAATTTTAAAGGGATTGTAAAGAGGTTTTCTAAACTTCTTATATGTATCTGGGACACTGATAGCATCAATTTGCACCATTCCAACATCTGTGGTTCTTGCAATTCCACTAAAACTAACACGTTCTATGACATCACTAGAGGGGAGCTACAGGAAGCTACTACTAATATCTATGCAGTTCTCCTCTATTAATGTCATAAAACATGTTAGTTTTAGTGGAATTGCAAGAACCACAGACAACGAAATGAAAATCGGAATGGTGCAAATTGCTGCTATCAGTGTCCCCAATACACATAAAAAGTTTAGAAAACCTCTTTACAATAAGTTGAAAAGGAGAAATATTTCAATAGAATGCATTATGCATGATTTAATGAAGGAGTCCTTTCATATCTTTTTCTATACTAATACATAATATGTTACATCACATCTTTTTTGTCTGATTCATCCCTAAATAAACTCAGGAAAAAATTTACATGTTCTTTTGATATCTAATGTTGTTACCTAATGCTATGATTTCAATGAAAAAGTGACCCAATATAACTTGTCATGCAAATAGTTGAATGTAAAATTGTTACTTGTCATTTCTCAATTTACTTTACTCTATAGGCTCGTATACAACGAGGAAGTGTGTTATTAAAACAGGGCAAATATAAAGAAGCTAAAAATGACTTTGAAACTGTGGTAAGTGTACAAAATAATTGACTTTGAGTAAACTTTGTCTTAATTTTTTTCTTCAACATGGGGTTGGACAAGAACAGTAGTTATCCTTTTAAATTTTAGATGTTTGTTTTTTTCATCAAAATATTAAATGCAATGTTACAGCTTCACCACCCTGTATGTGAGACAAGAGACCTCACAAGGGTGAATTTTCATAAAGCTTTGGTTTTATAGATGATTTCTTCTGCAATGATAGGGCCAATGATAACATATACTAATTTCAGTATAAGGTTTCTGATTTTAGAATGCAACTCTTTGCATTCATCTGATCTAATTTGTTTTTATGGTCATGTTCCTTGATGGAACCAATGCAGATCATTCAGAAAAGTTTGTATTGTAGCCACCATAGAGACAAACCTACAAATGAGACTCTTTCATTTCAGTTGAAAACTTCGCCTAATAATGAAGAAGCTAAGAGAAATATAGATAAAATAGAAACTATACCACCAGATATAGAACTAGCCTATAGATTAGTTGAAGAAGGTAACTATGGAGATGCCATACAAGTTTTAGGAGGAATTATTGATGTAAGTCAAAGTTTGGTCTTTAAGCATAACTATAATTTTGTGTAATTGTCAATGCTGATTAAAAATCCTTGTTCAAATTCAAATTTCAACATAAGCTAAAAATAACAGGCATGGTGTAGACTTTACAAAGAAAAAACCTTAACCACACTGGAGGTATTTTAAGTTTTAATTAATATGATATAACTATGAAATGCCAACGTGAGATAGTCACTGTTCTTTATAAATAAACATGATAATGGTATTTATATTTTAGACCTGTCCATGGGACCCAACATTCCACGAAATTCGATCTGAATGTTATGAAGCTCAGGGTGATTTATTTAAAGCAGCTAGTGATATAAGACAGTCTACTAAATTAAGAGCAGACAATACACGAGGTTATTTTAAATTAAGTTCGCTACATTATGAGATGGGAGAAGCAGATGAATCTCTCGTGTAAGTATTTCTAATTGTAGCATTCATTCCATTTACTCAAAAGTAGTAACTTAAGGCCTTTGCATGTGGAATCGTCTGATTTGGAGATCTGTCTGGTATGTAAATGAAAGAATCCATTAGGTAAATAAGTGGATTTGGTAGTGAATTTCCAAATTCAAAACAATTTATTGTGGACAGATGGAAAAGAAATACCTTAAACTTGATTGATTTAAGTTTTATAAGATTATAAAATTCCAAATATGTTTTACGTTATTTTTTCAGACAAATTCGTGAGTGCCTTAAACTAGACCCAGATAATAAACAATGTTTTCCTCATTATAAAAAAGTGAAAAAGTTAGTCAAATTAATGACGTCTGCTCAAGAAAGTATCAATAATGAAGAATATGATAAATGTGTTAAAAAAGCAGAAGAAATGTTAAAAGTAGAATCTTTAGTTCATCATTATGTATCAAGAGCAGGGCAGCATAAGTGTAAATGTTATTCAAAGGTAATTAACTGATCATTAATTCATGTCTCATGTCCTGGATTTTGTGTCTGCTTGGTTTCCAAACTAAAAATGTTATAATAGAATGATATATATATGGTTGTCTTTGTATGTAATGAACTTGGGTAAAGATCTAGTAAACATAATCACATGCAGTACACTTTATTTTAGGTGCCTAGTGTAAGTTATATAAGACAGTCTAGCTTGTTTAGTAATAATTTTTAATTATTCTACCCAAAAACAATGTGGACTGTTTATGTTTCAAATTGGACCTTTGATAGTTATCTAGATCTGAAAATCACTAAATTTTCAAATTGTTATCAACGTTATACCAGTTTTCACACCGACAGACTATAATTGTAGTATATTGGCCCCCAAATTTATTCAGTTTCTTCCACTTCAAAGTAAACAACAAACTTTTTCTGATATATTATAGGGTGGTAAAGTGAAAGAAGCTTTAGCAGAATGTACGCATTTACTAAAAATAGATCCTAATAATTTAGATGCTTTGATAGATAGAGCTGAAGCTCATATATTTAATGAAGATTATGAAGCAGGTAGGTATTTATACAATTCTTTCCCTGGTTCAGGGTCATGTTTCACAAAAAAATTATGATCAGTTTTGTATTTAGTATATTATTTCTGAAAGGGATTATTAAGAGATTTTCTAATATTATTTTTTTCCTGTAATTCAACTGAAACTAAGATTTGATGACGTCACTAATGGTGAAATATACTTATATCATATCATATACCTTTGCGATTAGTGACGTCATCTAATGCTAAGTTTAAGTTTTATAAAATGATTACACTATGTATTAATATCTATATTTTGTGTTATTTTAGCTATTAATGATTATCAAGAAGCTAGTAATATTGATGGTGAAAATAGAAGAGTTAAAGAAGGTTTAAATAAAGCTAACAAATTATTAAAACAATCAAAAAAACGTGATTATTATAAAATATTAGGGGTTAAAAGGTAAGATATTGAGTTAGTTATATTTTCTTTTTTGCAAAAGTGTAGAGGATCCTCAATGACCAAATACCATGTACATGGCTATCTTATATAAAGATTTCAATATCAAATTAATACTAATTTAGGCCAATTTAAAGTTTTAGACTTTGATAAAGGCCAAGTCATCCAACCTACAATTCAATGGCGTTTCAACTGTCATTTGTTCTTTTGGAAACTTGTGGCAAAACATTTTCGATGGTTAACAATGGTCTTTCTGATTTCAGAAATGCTAAAAAGAAAGCTATAATGAAGGCATATAGAAAATTAGCTGTATTGTGGCATCCCGATAAATTTACTACAGATGAAGAAAAAGAAAAAGCCCAGAAGAAATTTTTAGATATTGCCGCAGCTAAAGAAGTATTAACTGATCCAGGTTGGTATTTTATTTTCTATTTTAGATAACTGAAAGTCAATATCTCTTTCTGCTGATTCAATGCTTCTTTATATGTACCTGCCATTATGGGTGAAATCAGTTAAATGTATTAGTGGATAATTTTTTTCAGATATAGTCTTTGATACCACTACAATAATGTTAGGTCTCCATGTGATAAAATCATGATATTGGGCAATTCAATAAGCTGAATTTGTTGAGTGATAGACAGCTTCAAATTGTAAATGGAAACAGACATAGAAGTGTCTTAATTTATATTGGTCTGTGACTGAATAATTGATCTGTTTGGAAACATTGTCATCTCAAAATAGATTCTGTTTTGCCATTCTAGGTAGAAGAATAACAATACAGTTACCTTGTTCTTTCAGAAAAACGAGCACAATTTGATAATGGTGAAGATCCTTTAGATCCTGAAGAACAAAGTGGTCATGGTGGAAATCCATTTCAACAAGGTTTTAATCCCTTTGGTCAAGGCTTCTCTGGTGGAAGTTTCAAATTTCACTTCAATTAATGACAGCTTCAATCCTAGTTTGTTACAATTGTTTTGTTATGTATTTTATATATCTACTTGTTATAAATGGGTTCCTTAATGTTAATTTGATTAGGTTTTTGTCTATTTTAATAATAAGTAAAAAAGTAAATAATTAATAGAGATGTGCAATGTAACAAAACATTGCACATATTTTTTTTATCACAATAAACTTGCTTGAGTTTATTTCTAGTTTTATCTTATTTAGTTTCCAGCTACATTATAAGGTTTTTTCTGATTATGGAACATTTTTGTCAAAATTTGGGTTTTTTGCATTTCTCTAAGATTTGTTAGAAAAGATGCATGATGAAAATTTCTCATAATTTATTGACAAAGATTGGTTGTAAATCAGTTACTTTGGTTTTGTTTACAATCTGAGAACTCCAAAAATATTTTTGAAATGTACGACATAAGGACCCATATTCTTAATTGAAAATTACTAGTCTATAACACTGTCCTTATAGTGAAATAGTTAGTTTTTAAAGCATAATTTGTGCAAAACTATATCTGTTGATTCTAAACTTTGACTCTAATTAATGTATTCTTAGAAGATCTGAAAGATGTGTTAAATATGTTGCACATCACTTTAATTTCGTAAATCAAAATATCATTTAGATGAGATTTAGCCATTTAATAAAATGTTTGGGGGATTTCATGGTTCTTTGCTTTGGGGTATTTTATGGTTCTTTTTGAAACAGTTTTCAAGAAGTATTATATATCACCTGTTGATATAGCACTAGTTGCCACGCTATACAATAGCCACTTAATTAATAGACAAACCATCTTCATTAGCCCACATGGTGCAGAAAAGTAAAACTCCATTCATTTCATTTCATTTCAATTGACAAAACCTAATATATGTATCTTACTTCTGCCCCACCACAAACGGGAGAGTTATCTTTCTTTGTGTTTTATTTGGTTCAATTCTCCAAGTGCATACAAATGCTTGGATTAGTTTGTTTTATTTATTATTATTAATAGTGTTTTTTTGAGTTCATTACAACTTGTCAAAATGTTTTCACATTGTGTGTCTGTAAGGTTGAGTGAATGATTTAGAATCTTGATGTAGAGAAAATGTGATACATGAATGAATGGAAATAAATGAATCATGCAAGTCTCTTATGTGTTGTTTTCTTTGCTTATATGTATATGTAAATATTGCAAGCTTGTCTGAACTTTTTTGTCTGCTTGTAGACAATCAGATACGGTACCAACACAAGTTTACACTTTTACAACCAGTCAAATTAAAATTGGACCAAATTTTTCTTCCACTTTTTTAACTAGCTTTTATTTTTAATATACCTACTTTAGTTAGGACCACTATATTAACAAAAGCTCTGATACAGTACAAGAGACTTAGTTTTACATAAATTATAGACCTTCATATATCATTATCTGATTGTGTTGCCCCCTTCTATTGGTATTGAAGCACCATTGATATTACCAGCCAAATGAGAACATAGAAATAATGTTAATTCTGCCACCTGTAATAAAATTCGTTAGCAAATTACAGTAGCGGGTATCTTAGTGTATTAATTATGAAATCAGAAGTCAAAATACAATTACATGAAATAAGAGCATGATTCTGAACATTGGCGTATTCAGGGAGGTTTATAAAAAGGTCAATTAGCACTTCATGAACTTTTGCCTCGGAGAGACACCTCAGGCATTTTCTAGATACGCCACCGAGTCCGAAGGTTATTCTAGGCCCCCCTATCCACCTTACCAGTAGATTCTCCCAAACAACTCATTATAATAGTTGGTAACATTTGACAATTCCATAAACTATAGACTTACTTCTTGTACTGTTATAACTTTATTGGTTGGAGAATTACTAATAAATTTGGCCTGTAATATAAACGATGAGATAACATAATACCAGATGCCAATACATTATATAGATTTGATTAGCTTCATTTTGTTCAGTTGTGCATAGATCCTGTTTTATTTGACTCAGTCTCGATATCTACATCTGTAACTCGTGTAAGTGCAAATCTATCCAAGCGGTAGATATCCCTTTCAGATAGGATTAGGCACAACCGAGACGGATGTTTACATGGTGGCGATTTCAGTCTTCTTGTACTAAATTTCGAGCATTCTTTTCTGCAGATTTTTAAATTGTTGGTGTATATTGGGGACACTGATAGCATCAATTTTCACCATTTCAAGTGTTTGATGCGTTTTTTCCAGATAGTATGAAATTGGGTATGATTATACATGTATTGATCAATTGATTGAACAAAATCACAAAACAATCCATACCTGTTCCTCATCATAAGTTGTTCCATTGACTTCTGCCAATCGTTTGATCGATACATAGGCCACTGTAATAGTAATAATAATAATAGGTTCCATGAGAACTAACTTCATTTTCAAATGCATACGTACAAAACGAGTACAATCAACTTGCAGATTAGAAAGCATGCAACACTCATTATCACCAATGTAGTTTGCACAATAATCAAAATTCTTACTTGGTGCATCAACGTAACCAGGACAGATAGCATTACATGTTATTCCATGGGGTGCTCCTTCCAAGGCAACACACTGTAATCATGAAAGGATAGCTGTTAGCAAACAAATGAAATGGTATCTCATTTAAACCAACCAAAGCCATTCATACTCTCACATGTCTTCACGAAACCAATCCACCCAAACATTCTCTCACACGACTCTATCAAACATTCTGCCAAACATTCTCTCGCACGACTCTACCAAACATTCTGCCAAACATTCTCTCGCACGACTCTACCAAACATTCTCCCACACGACTCCACCAAACATTCTCTAAAACGTTCACTCGCACGACTCTACCAAACTTTCTATAAAACATTCTCACACGACTATGCCAAACCATTAAGCTAAAACATTCTCACAAGAATTCATCACAAACATTCTACCAAACATTCTTTCGCAAGACTCTACCAAACATACTCACACACGACACAAAACATTGTCTAAAACATTCTTTCGCACGAGTCTACCAAGCATTCTCTCACACGACTGTGCCAAACAGGCTCTCACATCTACAAAACATTCTTTTTTAGCAAATAAACTAAAACATTCTCTCATCGAACTCTACCAAATCAACCAACATTCTATATCATTCAGCGCAAAATCCCGAAAGAGAGACGAGCTGAATTCAACAAACCAAACAGCCCAACCATTAACTCACTCAGCTCAGAATCTCCGAAACAAAGAGGAACCGAAGTCTATTCTAGAAAAAGTGTACCTTCGTTAAACCAATCAGACCATGTTTGGCTGTTGAATAAGCACATTTACCGGGAGCACTAATCAACCCTTGTTGAGATGACATGTTGATTATTCTACCCCACTTCTTGTCCCTCATTAATGGTAAAAATGATTTGATAAGATGGAAAGAGGCTGTAAGAGTTATTGCCAGTGTGTCATTCCAGATTGTATCAGGATAATCATCTATTGGTGCCATGAACTGTATTCCTATAAATAGTAATTTCCCTTTATTCAACTGTATTAATGTATATTTCGAATAACCACATGTAGGGGCGTAACTTTTAAGCAAGTCCGTAGCAAGATAGGAAGAACTGAAATGTTTTAATGACGTTTCAACTATTTGATTCGACAGATCAATCAAAACAACCACGAGTTTCAGCTAATTCTTGCTGTTGTCGGGTGCCCAAATGCTCGTCTTATGCAGACAAATTAGTTTTTAAGGTCATCGGTCAAAGTTTTCCACAGAGGCAACTTTTTTCTGAAATATCCGAATTCCAGTCAAGTATTGTTATCCAAACCAACATATTGATAGCAATTTACCTGCATTATTAACTAAGATATCTATTCCCTGTGGATATTCTTCTTTTACTTTTTCACAGAAATTCTTGATGGCTGTTACATCTGTTAAATCAGCAGATACATAACTTGTCTTGCTTGAGTATTTACTTTCAAAATGAAAAGAAAATTTTTAAATCAATTTCTTGTTAAAGGGGCAAAATGCACAATTTTCAATAAAAAATATTTTTAAAGTATACTATTTATATATATGTATCTACTTGATTAAACTTAATTTGCTTTAAGATGGTTAATTAAAAACAGAGAGTACTAATTGTTTAAAGAATACCACCTCTTACAATGGCTATAAAATTTAAATTCTCAAAGTTGGTCAACAAGTGTATATATTTATCAGTTTTAAAGTTACTTAGTTTAATGGGTTATTACTTATTAGTTGTATGGATTTATTGGATTATAGAAGGACTCTTTTGTATAGTTGTGACACAAGGTAAGTCAACTGATGAACAAGGACTCATTTTTAACCAAGTTTTAAAAATAAATTGTCATTCTAAGCGGTAGTATACTTTAAGCTTATTTGTATTCTTATGAACGATTTGGAATAATGTTTGTTTTGGGTTATTTTGTATGCAAAGTAGGCTACAAACCTTTGAAATTCTTGAAGTAAGGAATCAATGAGCGTCTGATCACCTAAACCAGTCAATATTACAGAACAACCATTACCGGCTAGTTGTCTAGCTATTTCTAAACCAATACCAGATGTTGAACCCGTGACAATGGCAACTTTACCATTAAATTTACTCATCTTTCATTTAGTATCTCTTACTCATAGTTTATAACAATACAACGCAATAATTATATAGTCTAATGTTATTATGTTGTTGATAAGTTTGAGATAAGATAATACAATATGTAGTTTAAAGGGGAGCAGACAGCATTTTCGGAGATATATTTTGGTCTTGAATAATTATGTTAGCAGTCTTCAAAATTACTAGAAATGTACGAAAATCGCATAATCCCTTTCAATATACAATGTAGCGTACCTTAAACTAGGAATTTCAGTTCCTATTTCTATATTATTATGTCTTTCTATATATGGCGTATAGTCGAGACGTCATTTTAAAACGCAGGTAAGTTTGGACACATAATATGGATTTAAAGGTTCAAATTTGGACGATGAGATATGGACACTATTACTGATTGGCTTAGTTAAAAAAAACGTTTCTAAGACTCTAAGTGTGATTATTATAACGTATGGCGATATCTCGACATTAGTCTTCCGCAAAGTTCTTCGGCTTTTGGACAACCAGATTGAATCAGTTTTTGTTTGTGATATAGTTAATTTTGTGATCTTATCAAATTTAGACCGACATATGCATAGGCAAATCGGATAGAACTTTAGCCTCCGAAAATAATTCACCAGACACGCCCCAAAAAATATTTTTCTCTAGATATCCTCAAATTCTTACTTCGTACTCATGACTTTATCATCAACATAGCAGCTCTAATCGACTCCACAAGAAATTTTGACCTAATCTCGATCTCTTTTATCCCTTCACGTTAGCTTTAAAGTCGTTTTATGAACTGAACCCGAGATATGTGTCATTTTGAGTTATAAATAGTGACATTGTCGCTTTCATTTATTCACCACCATCCTGTACAAATGATATAGTGTTAGAAATAACCAAAATTATTCTAACATTACAAATTGTTACGTTTATGTGGTGGAAATGAAGGATTACATGACGTGCCACGATCAATAAATCTATATGGGTCGAGATCGGTGGCCATATAGCAATCAATAAGGTCGACAAATAGGCGTTTGCTCATTAGATTGGTGTAGTCTTCTCCACGTGAGCACATGTTAGTTGCCAAAGAAGTTACTTTTGTACAGGTATATAATAAGGATGAGTTGTTATAATTATCATGAGTCTTGTGTCCTTCTACCGTTAATATAACTATATTAACTTGTGAATCTGAATCGTGTCTAGGTCATACAATGAGTTTACCCATAGTGTACATAACAAGGAAAGAATCGTTTTCAGCCTGTCATAGACTTCATAGTAAGACACTTAGTGATGCAGAAAACCAGGAGATATTTGGTAAATGTAATCATATTAATGGACATGGACACAACTATACTGTGGAGGTGGTACTGAAAGGACCCGTGGATCCAGTAACAGGAATGGTGATGAATTTAGTGGTATTAAAGCAACATATGAAGGAATGCATTATGGATGTTATGGACCATAAGAATATTGATCTCGATGTGCCATACTTTAAAGACAAAGTCAGTACTGCTGAAAATATCGCTATATTTATATGGAAGCAGTTAGAGGAAAAATTATCTAAAGGACTACTGTACGAAATTAAGTTACACGAAACTGATAAAAATATTGTAAGTTATAAAGGTGAATAAAAATGTATTACAATGTATTGCTATATATTAAACGTATTTGCAATTTACTTGAGTATAATCATATAATTTTATGATTTGTACGTGACTCCTACAGCGAAATAATTATGCTGTTGACGTTACTAAATGATGTATCTTTAGAGGGGTTGACCAATTAGACTTTAGTCTCAGAAACGGATCAGTAATAGTGTTCACAGCTTACCGTCGAAATTTAAGCCTTCAAATCTCTGTGTATCCAGAATTATCCTCGTTTGAAAGCAGCTTCAAGAACAAGGTCAACAACTCATATAAAATATTTTTCTTATTTTTTTTACTTTCAATAGGGTTCATTCATGGATGATAAGAAACAATTTCAACAGTTTCGTCTTAATCTTTCGAGAATTTTGTCTTCTAGAATGTTTGCCAGCTAAAATTTCCAAGAATAAGGACAATAACTCAGATTAAGTATTTTTTCTATTTTCGAAAGAGTTCATCCATGGGTGATTACATGCACTCACACAAAGTTTTGTCAAAATTCATCAAAATCCTGAGATTTTTGACCAGAAATCAAAAATACAAACATCATACAATAAAAATCAAGGTTATGATTATATAATAGAAAAAATAATTCATTCTACAAAAATAGAAGATCAGCAATAACATATTATTTCTGAACGCAAATACTAAATAAATATACTTTGCAATATAAATCTGGGTATGTTTATCCTGACAAGACATCAGCTGAGTACATTTTAATAGATGGTGACAATAGTACTTTGGCAATAAGGAACGGATATGTTCATATATTGGACAGACCAAGAGGAAGTGAAATTTTTAACAGGCATTGCAGGTTCTAGAATCACGGGGGATGTTCTCATACCGCCCCGTCTCTATTGACAAACAATGAGAGACGTATCTGAACTGCATGGGCCAATGGAACCCGATATTTTATTGGATATACATTTTCTAAATAGCTTTCTAGGCAATGATACTCTTTAAATAAGTTATAATTATAAAGTTTGGGCGAGTTAGAACAACTTTCTTTCCAGCTTTGTAAATACTGATACCTAATGCGTTGTTTGATTACCAGATAATTTGGAGTTAGGAAACTTTGGTTATCCCATAAGTTTTGGAAACCTAAGGGCGGGAGTAATCACTTAACTTGAACTCTCGATGTCCGGGCAATTATGAAAGCCCCGATAGTATCGATCCAACGTAACAATCGAATAGTGCTATTTGTCTTTTGACATTCAAATTGACATTATCAAAGATATTAAAGAGCTGATGTTGACCCCTCAGTCCCTTTTGAGAAATAAGGCCAAAGAAACTCCTAGATATGTGAGGGTTTTGACACATCCCAAACGGTATTGAATTTATCTAACTATGAAAACTAATGTTTTAAAATTAAAAGTGAAATATGTCGTATGTGAGCCACCGTACATATGATCATTTTACGGCTCACGCCATTTAAATGTAATTTTTGTAACAGGAGACATCTGTTGACTCTGTCAAATGCTTTGCTTGATAAATGCACAATTAACAGTTTCTCACCTCTACATAAAAGGAGTATGTGATTATACTATGAAGGATAAATATACAATCTTGAGTTGATTTTTTAGGTTGGAACTCGAATTGAAATACTGACAGCAACTATACTATATAATTTCCACATTTTTTAATTGAATCCTGAAAACTATAATACAGTGTTGGCAGCTCTATAGCCCCCTATCGAGACGATAAGTATTGACATTGAACATTTATTTAACATTTAGTCCCAATTTTCATTATAACGTCAGTTTGTTTTATTATTCAGCGTTGTCTACAAACATCCGATAAAAAAAAAATCCATGTACAAATAACGTAGCAATTAGCTGACAAGATGAATTCTCAGTTATTCCAACAGTCAATGCATGTATGTTATCTGTAATTCAAACAGGTACATAATCTACAACCATCATGGTAAATATTCTCTTGACATCCTTCACCACAAGATATCATTGTTGGGCAAACTGAAATTATACAAAAACACAGCTGAAATATGTTATTTTTTATAAGGCTACAAATTAGGTTACACACTTGATATTTTAACGGTTGAAATGTTTCCTCTTTATTTTTCAATTTAAATGCGGAAAACCTTCTTAAACACATATTTTTCGTGATATTATTAGTCATTTCTTTATTTCCTGGTAGATGTGCAAATAAATGTGATATTAAACCTAGACATCGAAAAAATATAGCCTATTGTTATCGATATTGCGTTCAGTATATTTTATGTCGATACTTAACTCAAACCATGATCTGAGACGTCTCTAAATAAGAAATTAAGTCAGCCAATCAAATGCCTTTAACCAGCATGATATTAGAGGAATTCTGGAATATTCATATCAATCAATAACTTTTGTAATTGGAAATGAATTAAAGAAATATTATTTCGATCATAAAATGCCTTATTTATTATCACATGATTGTAGTATAATCCCACAGAAATAAGAAATAACGAAATAACAGTATAACGTGTGAATCATTGACTTACCTTTGATTTCACCCAATTTACCACAAAAACAACCATTACAACCATTGGAATACCGTTTGTTTAAACATCCTAATCCACAGACGATTCCACACACTAAATAAAACAAAACTATGTGGAGTTAAATTAGCAAAGCACTAAGCACATCTCAATGAACATACATTTACTCACGTAACCAAACCAAACTCCATGCCGGGTCACAGAATATGTAAGCCCAACTGTAAATCCGATAATTGGTATAAGGAAATGCCGTCAAATACTATCACAGGTAGGACAGGGACTTGAAGCTTGAATTTATTTTTATAAAATGTGTGTAAAAAAATTGCGTTCGAAACAAAATAAAATGTCTCTCCCTGCAAAAATGTGTGCGTTAGATTATCTTGATAGTAGGCTTGAGTTTCGTGTTCCTTCTGTAATGATGAAGTGTCGCAATCTTAACAATGCAATATGTATAGAACATAAAAACATCTTACCATATTTTCCAAATGAAAACGGTAACATAAAAAGTAAAAAAATCAAAATTCTCTCCATATTTTTGGCAAACTTACTATTATCAAAACATGCTAAGAATTCAGTCTTCTTAATTTATATAGTAAAAAGACCTTGATATGACAAATGAAATAAATGATTTGTTTACAAATATTCGTGGGACCACCAGAAAGAATGTTCAAGAATCAGGTAAACGTATGATAAGGCCCACTTAACGTCAACTTATCGTATTGTCTAGAATAACTTAGTTTGGTGATCCTATCTTATCGTGTCTAGAATGACTTAGTTTGGTGATCCTATCTTATCGTGTCTGAAATGACTTAGTTTGGTGAGCCTCTATCTTATATTGTCTAGAATAACATAGGTTGGTGAGCGTTTCTCTCATCGTGTTAAGAATAACTAAGTTTGGTGATCCTATCTTATCGTATCTAGAATAACTTAGTTTGGTTAGCCTCTATCTTATAGTGTCTAGAATAAGTTAGTTTGGTGATCCTATCTTATCGTGTCTAGAATAACTAAGTTTGGTGATCCTATCTTATCGTGTCTGAAATGACTTAGTTTGGTGAGCCTCTATCTTATATTGTCTAGAATAACATAGGTTGGTGAGCGTTTCTCTCATCGTGTTAAGAATAACTAAGTTTGGTGATCCTATCTTATCGTATCTAGAATAACTTAGTTTGGTTAGCCTCTATCTTATAGTGTCTAGAATAAGTTAGTTTGGTGATCCTATCTTATCGTATCTAGAATAACTAAGTTTGGTGATCCTATCTTATCGTATCTAGAATAACTTAGTTTGGTTAGCCTCTATCTTATATTGTCTAGAATAACATAGGTTGATAGGCCTCTATCTTATAGTGTCTAGAATAACTTAGTTTGGTGAGCCTCTATCTTATATTGTCTAGAATAACATAAGTTGGTGAGCGTTTCTCTCATCGTGTTAAGAATAACTTAGTTTGGTGATCCTATCTTATCGTGACTAGAATGACTTAGTTTGGTTAGTCTCTATCTTATAGTGTCTAGAATAACATAGGTTGATAAGCCTCTCTCTTATAGTGTCTAGAAAAACATAGGTTGATAGGCCTCTATCTTATAGTGTCTAGAATAACTTAGTTTGGTGAGCCTCTATCTTATATTGTCTAGAATGACTTAGTTTGGTGATCCTATCTTGTCGTGTCTGAAATGACTTAGTTTGGTGAGCCTCTATCTTATATTGTCTAGAATAACATAGGTTGGTGAGCGTTTCTCTCATCGTGTTAAGAATAACTAAGTTTGTTGATCCTATCTTATCGTATCTAGAATAACTTAGTTTGGTTAGCCTCTATCTTATAGTGTCTAGAATAAGTTAGTTTGGTGATCCTATCTTATCGTGTCTAGAATAACTAAGTTTGGTGATCCTATCTTATCGTATCTAGAATAACTTAGTTTGGTGAGCCTCTATCTTATATTGTCTAGAATAACATAAGTTGGTGAGCGTTTCTCTCATCGTGTTAAGAATAACTTAGTTTGGTGATCCTATCTTATCGTGACTAGAATGACTTAGTTTGGTTAGTCTCTATCTTATAGTGTCTAGAATAACATAGGTTGATAAGCCTCTCTCTTATAGTGTCTAGAATAACATAGGTTGATAGGCCTCTATCTTATAGTGTCTAGAATAACTTAGTTTGGTGAGCCTCTATCTTATATTGTCTAGAATAACATAGGTTGGTGAGCGTTTCTCTCATCGTGTTAAGAATAACTAAGTTTGGTGATCCTATCTTATCGTGACTAGAATGACTTATTTTGGTTAGCCTCTATCTTATAGTGTCTAGAATAACATGGGTTGATAAGCCTCTATCTTATAGTGTCTAGAATAACATAGGTTGATAAGCCTCTATCTTATAGTGCCTAGAATAACTTAGTTTAGTGATCCCTTCTTATCGTGTCTAGAATAAGTTAGTTTGGTGAGTCTCTATCTTATAGTGTCTAGAATAACTTAGTTTGGTTATCCTTTCTTATCGTATCTAGAATAACTTAGTTTGGTGATCCTCTTTCTTATCGTGTCCTGAATAACA